TGTGATCATTTTCTCTGGTGGTCGTCAGGAGATGGTGATCCCCTACTTTTTCCATAGAAGAAAGCAAAAAAAGCTTGCGGCTTGCTGCCAAGCGAAACGTGATTTGGGGTTAACGCTTCTAACTCACTTGTATCGTCCCTAACCGGATTGATTGACCAAGATTTCAGAGCTTGCTCAATTAGACACAAAATTGTCCCTAGCACTATTTCGGTAGCACGACTACTGCCAGGATCTCGTAGAGGACACGCATTACACTTAATGGCATGCACCAGTTCGATTTAATTTCAGACTGTTGGTAGATGCAAGTCATTTGTGCGTGAAAACGGCTTAAGTCTATCGTGATGCGAAGCAAAGTCCGCTCAATGCCCATCAAATTTCAATCTGCGAATAGAAGTCCGCTCAATGCCCATCAAATTTTATTTTGCGAATGGAAGTCCGCTCAATGCCCATCAAATTTGAATTTGCGAATGGAAGTCCGCTCAATGCCCATCATCGTTTAATTTGCGCCAAGTGATGATGTCAGGTCTACTGCTGAGACAAGCGAAGAGAATCTTTTGTCGGTGCTCCTACGTGTCGGGATCTAAAACTTTCCGAAGTATTCTCCACTTGTGATTGAAAAAAGGAATTGCTTTTAGCTGAGCCATTTGATCGTTAGATTGAAAATCATCGGTGTAACGATCTTTTGCTTTCCGTTTAGGACGTATTACGCAGTGGTATAAAGTAAACCTCAGTGTTTAAAGTAATCCTATTTTAGTAAATTATAATTTTATAACGGAACGCATGAATTCCAATCCTTGATGCAAACGCTAATATGCACATTACCAATTAACAATCTAGCTAGTGGCAGATGGGTGTCAAACAAAACTGCATTTGTGACATTGCAAATGGTTGAAGGAAAGTTATCCGCCGTATCAATAATTAGGGAGACCGTAAGAATTGTCCTAAAGCTTAAACCGCATTGCCAGATCTTTCGAAAAAATTTTAGGGGGTTTAAATTCCAACTTGCTACACTGAAATAGTTTACTTGATGGCCTTAATTTGAATTTACTTTGATACCATTCAAATAGATTTTTCCTAATTAAACTCATGCTCACATGTCATGACTGAAGCATCATCGGCAGCAAAAGTAGAAGGCAACTCCACCCAATTGTCGACCTCGCAAGACGAACCCTTTAAGTAAATTTTAATAGTGTTAGCTTGGTCGGATTAATCAAAGAGTGTTCGGACTAGCATCCCAGCTGCTTTTCTAGGGGGTTCCCGAAGAGTTTTTCGCATATGGGTATCAGCTGGTTCATTGCGCTCACAAGGTGATGCCATTTGTCAGTGATGGCTGACTCGAGGATTTCGTTGACGCGGCTACCGACAAAAATAGGCAGCTGATCATTGGAATTGTGTCACCAACTCTAAGACAGTGGATTAATTCGCTCATATAAAGAATTGATGATCAGTACAATTCACAGGTTTTTTGAACTAAGATGAGGAAACTCGCATTTAAACAAGATTAAAAGTTTTTGTATTTTCTCTACCGAATTAATTTTCTCACTTCTGACCACTGATTTTCAAAAAGTTGTAAAGAAAAAAGAAGGCCTCTAACATCGTGTTAGGCTAGTAATCCATCCTTGTCACACGCAGAAGAAATATTGCATTATTTCGAAACAATTTTTTGGAATAACTAGGGGTAATCTACACCTTTGCTAACAACCTAAGTGTCTATCTAAAAATCCAATTTTAGCCTCGGGATGATAGATTACTTATTGGGACCGTAAGGTTTTAACAGTTGAAATTGATTATTGTTTGGAATTTCAAATTTATATCATTAGCATATCTTGCAAATGTAGTCAAGTTGAAATAGCAGGAAATTTTCATTGAGGAGGTAGATCCCTTGGAAGCAATCTAGAGTGCTTGCTAAATCTTTGAACTAGTTCAAGTAATCATCACATAAAGTTTCCTTTACAACTGATACGGGCCTCAGGATATGCAGGCATACTGTAACCAGCAATTTTTTACCGAGCAAACTTAGCAGATGTTGGCAAGTCACCGGCGCCGAATAGTTGCTGATTGTAGATGTTATCGATGTTCGAAAGTTTTATAACATTTTTTTTGATACCAAAGTTTCTTCCAACCAATTAGAAACGACAATTCAACCGCAAAATTACCGCAAGAAAAAATGATTTAGCGAACGGTTTGTGGTGGACCACTAATGACCTACATATTGGAAAGCGAACTGCCCACGTGATTTTTAGTCATCTTCCAAAAAGAACAACATTTTTTTAGACGTGCTGGTAATCTTGTCCTATAATTACTATTAAATCCTCATGTTTGTTAAGAATAGCTTTAAAAAAACAACTACAATGGTTGAATTGCTCCAACTTCTTATAAATTTAACAAACACTTGTCTAAATTGAAGCTTTTAAGAGGTGAAGAAGAGACACACAAATGAATGTTTGTATTATCATAAAGAAGCAAAGTTTTGGCACTATAGTTATCCAAAGATGCAACAGTCCTGCGAGAAACATTAAATCCCTTACAGGATTCTTGTTCACATCAAACACTAACGACGGTTTGTGCTTAGGTAATGTTTCTTCAGTCTCGCTTATTTACTTCTTTCAGACAAATGTTGATTGTTTCTTGAAGTTTCCATTGGCGGAAATTTTCTTTGCACTTCATGGAGCAACCCTCAAAGTGAGTTTACAATCTGATGCTTTGGCAATTTAGCAAGCGGATTTTGCGGTAATTATGATGCTGATTGGACTGAGTTAAGAGAAATTATATTTTTGCTAATTCCGGATTTGAGATGTTTAAGGTGGATAGAAAAGAGATACAGGTATGACTAACAGCTTTCTATAAACGTCTAGCGTTTAAGTTCAGACTTTATTCTTCGTTTTTCTAAGCCACGCTGTCTGTCACGCACTTTTGAGGCAGTGTGGAGTTCTCAAGACGCGTGATAAAAAAGTTAGCTCCTACCATTGACATCATACGCCTTAAGAACGATCATTTATTTTTTAATTTTACGTTTAAAAACTATTATTATTAGGAACTAAGTAAGTTGGTTGAACTTCAAAAACTTACTACGAAAAAAATTTTGGCATAAAATTTGTATCTTGAAATAATCAAAATCTTAATACTCGACCACACTCAACAGAGTAGCGAATCAGCAAATGAATCAGCGGTTGAGTGAATCAAACGGCTATAGTTTCCAATATTTCCAAAGTGTGTGTGGGGGAAAATTGATTTAACGCCAACAACAAACGCGGTAGACACCTGAGGCAGAAAAATAACTCCAGTTATCTTGCCAAATAGTAGTATTTGGCTAAAAAGACTGGATTGAAGTCGTTTCATTTTTAGCACGAGAAGTAACACAAAACTAGCATCAAATAATTTGACTTAAGCACAAATCACTTGAAAATATTTTGGATCTGTTCGGGTCCTTTTGATTTTTGGTCCCCAGTCAAAATCGCTAAAAAGCAAAAATTTAAATCACACATGAAGTGTATATTGGCAAATTTTAACCCATAAATTATGGTTAGAATCAACTATAGTACATGTATGAAAGTTGCCGCAAGGTGGATCCGATGTGATCCATGCAGATTTTTTAACTGCAAACTGGTTCTGATCTTTTTCAGTGCTTCAGGATTTTCAGTAATGTCGATAACAGTCCTGCACCAAAGGTTCTCCGTTAATGCTGAATTATCAGGCGATTTTATGTTCAAAAACAAATGTAACCTTGTAACAATCAATGATATGACATTTTTTTGTTCGAAGACAAAAATATTAGAATATATCGTCTAGTCTAAATAATTGATTAAATTGTTTTCAATTTGTAACTATTACATTGGAATTGTAATCTGTTTTTTCTCTATTTAATACCAAGGAAAGGTTTTTCTCTCTCCATATAATCGCAATATAATCTGTTGTGTTTTCTCCGAATAATCCCAATAAAATTTATTGTTTGTGGGATATAATGACAATTTACACTACTTTTCGTCATATAATCGCTAACAAAACATGACTAATTCTAAGAATGATTTTCTGCCTTAAAACCCAAAATCAAATCATTGCTTTTGTAAAATTTGATTACTAGTGCGTTGCAACTTTTTACCTGGTTAATTTCATTTTCTTAGTCGTGATTTTCAGTGTATTAGCGCCTTGTGCTTTCCCTCTCCAATATTTGCCTTCGATTGCTTTGGAACTACAAATCATTAGGGCTTCCTAAGAGTTTCTAGAACGAGCTGAACTTTTTCCTGACATTTTTTATTTAATTCTTGACCGCAGGCCTCCAATTATGTTGTTCTTGTTTTTAGATCGAAATGCATGTTAATGCTTCATTTTTATTACCTTAGATTTATCAAACTTAGTATCATCTGGAATCTATAAAAACATATATTCAGCAAAAAATGAAATTTTTGACGATTTGTAGTTTATTCAGCGCAATAGTGGTTTTGGGGGGCATGAATTAGTGGATGTTCCCTCTCCTCTCAAGAGTTTTTAGAAAAAATATTAGGGTCGGGCAGCCAAAATGGATGTTTTGAGATAGTACCATAGGGGGACCCTCTGCCGACACAAAGAATCCCCTCTGTGGTTATATTTTAAGACATTATTTATGAATGTACGGTCCTAATTTTTTAAGGCGCTTCGCTTGTCCATGTTTACTAAAATTAGGGGCAAGTGCACGACAAAAAACGCAATTTCAGAAATTTTTTTGATGGTTCTTGGTTAAATCGTGCTCGCAATGATCCATGTTGGTGACCCTTGTTTTTAGGTTAAAATTTTCAGAAAAAAAAATTTTGCTCGGAAG